CCATATTCAAATGACACAAGTTGCAAATTAACCAAAAGCAAATGCATATAGAGAGTTTAGATGGAGATAACTGTAAGATCACACAAATTTGTTTGCTTATTTCATTGTTTCCTTATTCAGAAATGAGTAATTAAAGTGTAAACATTTATTTACCTCAGGGCTCACCAAAAGCTTATCAAGTCTTATGAACAAATATTAGTCTTAAACATTAGTTCCCCAGAAGTAAAGAATGGAGATTTTACATAATCTAATTCTAAACCTCTAACCACTTGTGTACATTTCCTACCTGAGAGAAGAGTGACAAATGTGTGTTTGCAGTTATAGTTAGAGAAGATCATGAACCAAACTTTGGATCTGAATACCACAAAATTCAGGGAAGTCCATACCCACAGTGGTTCCAATACCCTAGATCCCCAAAGCCCTTGTCTTTGGGGAGGTTGCAATGGGTTTGGGATCCAAACTTTACAGCTTGGGCCATCTCTTATTTAAGTGAATTGATGAATGGTCAGTGGTAAAAACACAAAATCAACAAATATAAAACAGGGGATTAATTCCCTCTCCTGATTGGCAGGGGTGAGGGAAGGAGTAGGGATCTGTTTGTGTCTCCCTGATCCTACGCTGTCCGGTTCTAGAGTTGGAGCAGTTGAGAAGCCTAACACTGGGGAGAACCCTGCACCCATCAGTAGTTGATGCCACCTCCATTAGCTTTACACCACTGGAAAGTTCTCCTCTGCAAGGGGAATTCTCCACTGGCCACCTATGGCCAGAATCTTGAGTGGAACACATGGGAGAATCTGGACCCAGGAGACTTTGCTTTTTCTTTAGTACAAAACTGAAACCTTTGTGCGGCATTTTCTTTCTGTTTTATGCCCTTATTATTTCTGAACCATGAAAGCTGATGAGTATTGCATTCTGAATGAGTGGGACTAGGGTGGTGGTTGTGGTTGTTTTGTTTTAAAGTTTTTCTTCATTCAGAAAGTTGGCTTGACCTTTTCCTTATGAGGACAATGAGGGGGAGGAGAAGGTGAAAGATTAAGTCTTATTGTGGTACCAGCCTGAATATTTATTATATTGACTGATTAAATCAACCAGCATGTGACTTCTTACTTCAGCAATGGGATCAACTAGGGAAAATCAATCTCCAGTTCATACACTTGCAACCCAAAAACTATCCCTTGTTAAGAGAGACTGGGTTACTCCCCAAAATTCAGACCTGGATTTCAAAAACCCCAGATTTCAGGGTTGTTTAGATCCAGTGTTCTGGCTTAAGCCCACCTCTAGATATTAATTTTGTGCCAGGAGTTTCAGCTCTCCCTTTACAATGTGCCTTTGATCACCTTACCTGTGATTGTGACCATTCATCATTCTACTCTGAACAATTTCTAACATTCCAAACCGCTGAGACATCTCCAACAGGCATGAAAATAAATAAATAAAATAACAAGCCGGGAAAGTATTTCCTTCTTTCTCCCTTGCAAATTAACACTGGCCTCGGGGATAGAATGAACAATACTGTTCAGTCCTGGTTCAGGGACAGATTAAATGCCCTGCATCTCACAGCCTAGAAATTGGGTGCCTGGTACCTCAGGAAAGGGGAGACTCCCAGTTTTTCAATTCAATAATAGCCTTCCCTTCCCACCATAGAAGATTTGGAAATATCTGACCTTAAAAATCAAGATACTTATATATGGAAAAAGCTATTTTGGGTAATAGAATGTTCTGAAGTTGAGGCAGTGCAGCCTAGTGGATAGAGCACTGGACTGGGACTCAGGAGACCTGGATTCTATCCCTAGCTCTACTGTTGCCCTGTTGGGTGACCTTGGGCAAGTCACTTCACCTCCCTGTGCCTCCTTCCCCCATCTGTAAAATGGGGATAGTGATACTGACCACCTCCTGTGAAGTACTCTGAGATCTGCTGATGAAAAGCACTATACAAGAGAGAGGTATTATTATTTCCCTCCCTCATGGAGACCTGTACCGTCAAACTCCTGTAAACAATATGGATGCTTGAGTTTACAGGCAGAGAGATGTGAAAAATAGCACCACCATCTTTTAAAAACGTTTCCAAACTTGTCAAAAATAGTATATCTGTAATGTATGAGGTATTTAGGGTGCCATGATATACAGGTTTTATAGGCACTCATTTGGGATGACCTGCATAGCTCAATCAGGGCTTCACTGGCCGTGCATGAATACTGCATCCATCCCTTGCTCTTACAGATAAAACCTTTATGTCTCTCCACTATGCCATTAGATATTTGTGTATTTATATACCTAGATATTTGAGCTGATTTCCCGCCCCCCCCCCCAGTTCCTACTGGTTCCATTCGAAAATACAGTTACTGGTTCCTAGTGCTACTGTTCTTCCAGTAGAGACCAGCCAGAGAACTGTGGCATCTATTGGAACTTCCATTACACACTATGGGTGAAAGTCTGGCCCCACTGCATTGTAAACCCAGGTCCGTGAGACCCAGGCTTGTGGACTCAAGATACATCCACACTGGGTCATCTGACTCGGGGTCATGGGCTCAGGCAGCGAGGTTAAAAATTGCAGTGTAGATGTCCAGGCTTGCGCTGAAACCTGGGCTCTGCTGGGAGGACAGGGGGGTGTTAGAGCCTGAGATTCAGCCCAAGCCTCAACTCCACACTGCTATTTTTAGCCTCACTGTCCAAGAACCATGAGCCTTCCCTCAAGTCCCCACCCCCGCCCTGCCTCTTCCCACCCCTGCTCCGCCTCTACCCGACCCCCATTCCACCCCCTTCCCCAAGTCCCCATCCCACCTCTTCCCCGCCTCCTCCCTTGAACGCGCTGTGTCCCCGCTCCTCCCCCCCATCCCAGAACGCCGCCAAACAGCTGTTTGGTGGTGGGCAGAAGTGCTGGGAGGGATTGAGAGGAGCAGGAACATGGCACACTCAAGGGAGGAAGCGGGGAAGAGGCGGGGTGAGCTTGGCTGCCGGTGGGTGCAGAGCACCCACTAATTTTTCCCTGTGGGTGTTCCAGCCCCGGAGCACCCATGCAGTCGGCGCCTATGTCCACACTGCATTGTAAACACGGGCTTACAATTGCTAAACTTGGATCTCACAGCTGTGCTAACACATCCAATCGTCACTACGCAGACCTTCTAACTCAGGTGTGCATCTTGAGCTGTGTGCACGCTGCAAAATGACAGTGCTTGGACCAGAGTCCCAGGGGGACTTGGGCTCTGACCCACCCCACCAGCATATCCTAGGACCAGAGTCCAGAGTGCTTGCTGATGCAAGTCAGACAGATTTGTGTAGGGACAGAAGGCAGGCTTGGGCTCAAACCTGAATCAAAGCCCAAGCTCAGTGTGCAGTGTAGACATACCCACTGAAGTTAATGGCAAAACTACCATTGACTTAAATGGTGTCAGGATTTCATCCTGTTTGTGCATAAAATATAATATGGTACCATTTTGTGCCATTGCCAAAATATTTTGTGCCATTAGAGATTTTCTGACAGAGACACCTATTGTGTTACACTGTCAAAGAAATCTTCCCTTCAATTCAGCACAGGAGATTATAGCACAGAGTAGACAGGGGGCTCTACTCTGGGAGTGTCACAGATAACAAGCGTTTTATTAATTTGATTCCAAAGGAGTCAGCAGAATATTTCATGTTTTGTCTAAATCGATCCTAGTTACTCAACTTTTCCATTTAGAGGTAGCTACCAATGGCAAATACAAACCAAAACATCAAAATAAATGTGACACACGTTAATTGTTTGGAACATGCATTAGCCACTGCAAAAAACATATAGTATTGGCCCATATTCATCCTTGGATGTAACTTTACTGAAGAAAGTGGAGTCAAATCAGGGATGAATTTAACCTGTTGATGCTGAACAACATATAAATGTATAATAATTATGGAGCATCCACTTCTACTGGATACATTCATTTTTGGATGTCCAAATTGATAAACCTGCATCCTGATCATTCAGAAGCACAGAGCCCCTACAGTTCCCAGTGACTTCAGTTACATCTATGGGTGATTAAGGGAGGAGAGGAGAATCGTCTGCACTTTGGGTTGCCAACTTTCGGACCCCCTAAAATAAAACAACCGTGCAAATGATAGAACAGAGCAGAGATCTCAGCCATCCACACTGTCTGCTCTTTGTAGTTCACCCTCACTTCCTTCTTCTCTCCCTAATACTCTTGACTTCCTTCTTCTCTGCTCCTTTCACTCTCCCCTTCTCTACACCTCCCACCCCCAGATCTCTTCACTTTCTCTTCTCTCTTGCCCTTGCTCTCTCTTTATTCTCACTAATACCCCATACTCTCACTTCTCTATCCACTCTCCCCAATTTCCTTTGTGTTCTCTTCTCCACACTCTGCCTTCCCTCTCCCCCGCCCCCACCCAATTCTCCTTCTCTTCTTCCCCCTCCTTCCTCTTGGAAGTGGTCTTCCTCTCTCTCTCTCTCTCTGCCATCTGTTTTCTGCACAGCAAGCCTCAAGAGCATTCCCAACAACTACAAAGATCATAGTGCAGGCCCCATTGTGTGAAATGCCCTAGGGAATCTGTAAGTATATTTGAGTTGAAACAGAAGCAAAGGATTTCAAGAAGGAGCTGGAACACCATTCCACTCAATTTAATCATTTTCCTCTTTAGTTACAAGCAAAATACACTCCCTCGCCTGTTTGCTCACTCACATGATGACTTCTGTATTTCCAGCAAGAACATAAACCTTTCATATCTCACAGAAATAGAGATGTGGCCCAAACAAACTCCTAGATTTAATACCCCTTAACTTTTGGATCTCCGTTGGAACTGAGCAACTGAAGCCCATCTCTAAGCAGATGGACTTGCAGTGGATTTGAAACTATAATGACACTTCTTATTAGGCAGAGAATATACACAATAGGCCAGATCCTCCACTGTGGCCAAGGACTGCTCAGCACAACTCAGCAGGATCTATCCACCGGTGGATGTGAAGGAGTAAGGGATAACATTCCTCTGGGGTCAGAGGCCTGGAGCTGGCCTGGCTGCCTGATTAGTTCACCCCCTGTATCTGAGGAAAGAGATGGAATTACTTAGCTGCCCTTATAAAAGAGGGCAGCAACAATGAGGGGGAGGGGAGGGACTGTGGAAGTGCCTGGGTGCTGTGTCCAGTGTACTGACAGTGGCACGACTACTGAAAGGAACTGCTTCAGAAAACCAGATAGACAAGAGGGGAGACTACTGGGGAGCCATGGAGGGCTGAGGCAAGAGCCAGGTAAACTTGCTGTGGGAATTAGTGGTATGAGAGGTTGGGGACGGGACTGCTGCGCTCACACAGACTTTGAAGTAAGAGTCTGAGAGAGGTGGGACTGTGTTTGTTAAGAGGCTCAGTTAAAGAAACTGCTCCAGCTGAAAATAGTTTCCCTGGATTCCTTGAGAAACATAGACAAGGGTTAGCGCAGGGAGTGAGCTGACTCAGTAGAGTAAAGCTCGGTCCAACAGGAGGAGGGTGCTATAAAATAGGCCTAATCTATTCCAGTGAGTTTAAGACACGTTTGCAGTCTTTCAAGCCTGGGTCATTCTGCACCAGTCTGCTTCCCTGGTGTAAATTGGCTACTCTAACTTGAACTGCCTGCCAATGGCCTGAAGGTCCCGGAAGGTCAGTGGAGGATCCCCTTATGCAGGTGAGCTCTCTATGGGTTGGATCCACTGGGCTGAGGATAGCTTTGTACTAGTGGCATGGCAGAAAGCTGCTCCAACACAGGGGAGGATCTTGTTTCGTAAGTGTGGGTGAGGAGAAACACTGACTCAAAAGACAGGAATATACCCAGTTTGTAAAGTTTATCTCAAGGTTGTGATAACCTATGCAAGTTTGAGCATAAAACACTTGCTTAGCAATAAAATAAATCTGAGAGCTCCACTTTGTAGTATTCCATGCTGATATTATTTGGTTAAATGCTTTTTGTACTTTAGTCAGTCTTCCCCACCCTCCTTCCTTGTGTAAGGTACGAGTTTCTGAGCAGACTATCTTGGATGCTGTCCTATCTTCTCTGTCACTTCTTGAATCAGACTTAATTCCCTTAACCTGACTGTACTGTCTATAAATTGAACATACCCACCATTTCTTGCTTTAAAAATCTTCTGCCAAAGGAAAAGTTCATTAGGGAATGGGTGAGTTTTGCCAGCATTTGCTTGAGTTTTGGGTGGACCTGAAACTCCAGCTAAATGTCATGAACTCTTGTGAAACAGAACACCTGCATTTGGATCGTGAACTTTCTGTGAATGATTTTATACCAATCTAATGAGCCACAGCAGCAGGATTTAGGGAGCACAAGAGGCTTTTTTATTTGAATAAGAGAGCAATTTTTTTAAGTGACTGGTGACTTTGGGTGCCCAATTTGAGACACCTTAAAAGGACCTGATTTTCACTAGGGAAATGCTCAGGACTTTCTAAAAATCAGGCCCCTTTAACATGTCCCAAGTTGGACACACACAAATTTGAAGCATTCAAAATTATTAGTTACTAAGTTTATAGCAAGAAATGCTGAGAAGCAGACATTAGCCTGAATGGTGAGGTTTCATTCTAGAATTGAACAGCCCCAAAATTTGGGGTTTGTTCAGATCCATTTAATTTTAAAGACTACTTATAATTTAATGACCAGGGGAAAAGTGCAGTTTTGTGCTTTCTGCAAAATCAACAAGCTGTAATTGCAAATGTATATAACAAGGCTGAAATAAAATAAAATGGGGGAAGGGAGTGGAAGAAGTTAAAAGTTAATAGATTTTAAGGTCAGAAGGGTCATAAAATCTCACCCAGTAAATTCTATATCAAGCTTAAAACTTGTTTGAGCTAGAGCATTTATTTTTAGAAGGATATTCAGTCTTGATTTAAAGACGCCAAGTGAAGGAGAATCCACCACACCCATAGATGGCTTGTTCCAATTGTTAATTATCCTCACTGTTAAAATATGTGCCTTATTTCTATCCTGAATTTGTCTAGCTTCATCTTCCAACTACTGTATCAACTTATGCCTTTTTGTTTGCTTGTTTTGCTAGATTAAAGAGCCATCTACTATTAGAAATCTCTTCCCCATGTAGATACTTGTAGATTGTGAACAAACCACTTCTTCATCTTCTCTTGGTTTATCTAAACCAGTGGTCCCCCGCCTTACCTGTAATGTAATCTTTCTGGGCCCCACTGGGGCTGGGAAGAGGGCCAGAGACTGGGAGCAGCGGCTGGGGCCACAGCTGGGAGCGGGGCCGCAGCTGGGAGCGGCCCAGGGAAGGGAGGCTGGCCTGGGCCCCACCGCACCCTCCCAAAAGTTCCTCTGTGCCCCCATAAGGGGGCATATCCCACAGTTTGGGGACCACTGATCTAAATAGATAGTTTCTTAACTCTCTCATTGTAAGGCATGTCTTCCAGACTTTGAATAATTCTTGTAGCCCTCTTCTGAACCCTTTCCAGCTTATGAACATCCTTTTTGAAGTATGCACACCAGAACTGGACACACTAATGCAGAGTACAGTGGTAATACCAGCCTCCCAACTCCTACTCAATGGTCTTCTGTTGATATTCCAGGTACATATTTTATTTATTTATGTATTTTAATGTTCTGTGCACTAATATTCTGCCATGGGTAATCTTAACTGTTCAGAATATGCAGCATATGACCCACTTGTAGATTATTTGTATTCAAGGAAAATTCTGCAAGATGAAGCAGAAATGCTGGTAGATGTGTCCTCTGCTGCAAGAATTCTGCCAACCTCAAGATGAAGGAGGATATGTGGTGGGATGCATTTTGCTGTTCCTCTAAAATTTGAACTTGCAGCCCTCTATAGCACATCCTATTCACTGCAGCATATGAACTAGCCAGCTAGTGGCTGAATCTTAACCCTAGTCAGCGGATCCCATACCCTTAGGAATATGGTGCACAGGCTAGCATGTTTGTTTGCGCTCTCTCCTAGCATTTCTTTAAGCTCCAAGGAACAAAACATGCCAATTGCACATGAGGAATGGAGAAGATGCTCCTTATGCAAGTGTGCTGACTAGATGATCACAACAATCCCTTCTGGCTTGGAAACTGACTCTGATACCCTATCAGCCTCCATCCTCTGTGACCCAATCCAATGAAAGGTAGGATCTGGCTTTCTATTATTTGATTTCACATGAGAAACAACCTTCGTTTGTATGCACTGTTAAACATTATCTTTGTGGTCAGCTAAGAGCTCTCAAACCAGGTAGTTTATTTACTTTAAGGGTGTCAGCCTCTTAGGAGCTAAGAAGGTTGCAATTTGTGATTATGGCTTTGGGTGACGCATTCACCACCTGTGCGGAGACAGAATGGATTGACATCATGGCAAAAAAAAATCTTCATTCTCTTTCAAATAGTTTAAAACTAAAAATTGAAGAGTGATGGTAAGACCAGTATGGGCTCCGGAATTGGTGAGTTATTACACTCTCTTTTTAAAAGTGATAAGTTGATTGTTGGTTTTTTAACAGGGAAAATGACAGGTGACATTCCTACTGTCTTGACTCTGAGAACTCCATCTCTTTCTCAGGTTCATTTTATTTTTCTTACCAAAGTAAGAACTAATGAACTTTAAATGCAGGGACTCTCACTTCAAAGGTCCTAAGGCTTTAACTCTACCAGTTTAACATGTGTTAAAAGCACACCGCCTTGTCTACCCTAGGCTGTTAACATTTGTTATCTAAGACTTCCACATCCTACAAGGCCCAACTGTTCCTTGATGAGCCTTCACTAGAACTAGTGATCTTCATCTGGCCACCTGTGTCATGGCTGGTTAGCTGGTGAGCTCTGAAAGGATCACAAATAATTTTAAATCTCTAAGTAACTGGTAATCATTTATCATTGTTTCATTAGTTAAAGGAAAACATTCTTTTGAGCCCCTGTAGGAAGCTACTAGTTACAGTTATACTCCTTTCACAGAAGAACTATTCTGCACTAGCATTGCCCCGATGCTGTCCTCCCTAAAGTGGAAGGGGAAATACTGAGGTAATCGGCATATCCTCCCTCACTTGAGATATGCTGGTGTAGGGGAGAGCATACTTCAGGGCCTACTCTTGCTTGGAAGGATTAGATTTTTATCAGTAAATGTGGTTAAAAGTCGATTTCACTGTACACACACAAACCCACCAAAAAAAATATTTCCATCAAGGATAATCAAAGTTTACAGACAGGGAAAGTAAGAAAAATGCTGACTGAGAACTTATTAGAGTTTGATTTAAGGATATTTACTTTGTATATTTTGACATGGGATATTGACAGTTTGTGTTTTAATGCTTACAAAACTTTAACTTTTTGAATCTCAACATTTACTCTCATTAAATAATTGTCTGATCCTGCCCCATAATTTCCTGCAACTGTGAAAATTTAAATAGATAAAAATACAAACTTAAAAATAAACATCTACATTATCAGTTGAAATTATTTAAAAAAAAAATTGTGCCAAGCCTAAATAAATGGCATTTTCTCCACTGAATTAGCACCGAGCATAGAATTATCGAGCATTGTGCTGCCAGAGATGTCACCAGTCCCTGCACCTGTAAAGGTGTAGGGCTGTGGCAGCTGTGATCAGTTCCATAAATCCCCCAGCACACTACTAGGGATGTGCTGTGAGGAGTTGGGGACAGCCTGCACTAGAAACCAGACCCTTATTGAGGAGGGACAATGCTAGCTGGAAAAGCTTTCTTCTTGATTGACTCAAACTTCCACGGCCCAAAGGCGTTACTTTTTATTTAAGGTCATTTAGAAATCAGGCCATAGGAAGCATTTGGAACTCCCAGTTTAAAAGGAAGCATTTGGAACTCCCAGTTGAACTGAGGTTTGGGTTTTTGTATTTTAATAGGCTTCAAAAAACCCCAAGTACCCCAGTCAGGTGGAAGTCAAGACCCTGGCAACTGGTCCCATGAGCAACTGTAGCTCACCTGACACATCCCACTATTAAATATAAAAATCACATACTTTCGGTCTAATTCCATGAATGGTGGTGCTTTGAACTACCTTAATCTTATCAAACAATCCCCAAACTACTACAAATAACTTTAAGACATAAGCATACAAAAGTAAAGCAAATATCTTAGGAATACTGATAGGCAATGCTCCTTGCACAGTTTTCTTAAGCTCTGCTAGCCCTAGTTTATGCACCAATTTTATCACAAAATTATCTTAATCTGTACAGAACCAGCCTAAATAAATGTTGGCCTGTATTTTGCATGATTCTGCAATAGTGTAATTCTTACCCAACTTCTTTATTTCTTTTATTTGTACAATGGTAGCACCTGGGGGCCTCATTCACGGACCAGTATCCTGTATGCTAGAGGCTATACAAACATACATTGCCAAATTATCAAGCCAGTCTATTCAGTCAGAGTTCTTTACAATAGATAGTCTACTTTTCTAGGGTTCTGGATTCTTATGGCCTTATAGGAGCTCACTGGAAAAAATAAAGTCAAGTCACTTTTTTCTCATTGCTTTTCTATAACTTTAATTGAAAGCTTTCCAAGAGTTTTAGAGTAGGGGCTGTGTTTTATGATAGATGTGTACTCTTTGGGAACACAAACAGCAAATAATAAAGTAGCAGGAATACTTTTTTTTTTTAAGAAACAATCTAAATACTCATTTGTTCTATCAAGAAACACTCTTGTGCAACAGGTACTACCAGATGGAACGTCTTTTACTTCATAAGCACTAATTCAGAATCTAACAAACAAAATGCTATCCTATACAGTGAACATTTTATTCTTGGACAGGCTAAAATATTGGAAAGCTATGTGAACTATTTGCTTGCATTTTCCATCTATGCATAATTACTTTCGAGATAAAGTTACCGCACACGTTTTCAGTAATTCCTCAAATGGTTGTAAACGATAAATTCTTAGAAAACAGGTTAAATGCCAGTCAAAAGAGATATGAAGAGTAAATGTAGTACTGGCTTTTTCTTAAAATGTTCATGCTCAGAGATTTTTTACTTTAATTTTGATCTGTCCTAATAATTAGGGTCAGTATTTTTTAAATCTTTTTTAAAATAAGACAAAATAATGCCAAAGCAATTTCTGTTGTTCTATGAAAAATCAAACCTATGTTTTTAAAACAAAGACCTGAATCCAACAAGGTGCTGAGCACCTTGTGTTCCCATTGAAATCATTAAGTACCATGCACTAGCAGGTGCCAAGGGCCAAATTTTGCACTTACAATACTATTTACTTAAATGAAATGATCTGAGACATAAATTAGTGCATGTTTAGGTGATGGGGGCAAGGAGAGAGAAGAAAAAGGACTCTATTTAGCAGTCACTTCACTTTCCTTTTGGAACAAGCTGGTGTGGATCTTAAATGTGCACTCCATCATGCTACTTTCTTTAGAGGTCTGGACATGATGGAGAAAGGAGAGGGATCATTCCACCGCTACATTGCTTGTTGGAACTGGAACAAGTTGTACTGTTCCAGTCTTCTGGATCAAATACAGAAAATGGCTTTTTTCCTCCTCAAGAGTGTTGTGTCAATGAGAACATGAATTTGGGGTAAAATCTCATTTATCTGTAATTGAGGGCTAGATTTGGGGCTTGTCTACATGGCAAGCTAGCGAGCACTCCAGAGTGTGAATTTACAGCACACCAGTAACTAACTCACCGTGTGGACACTGCTACAGTGCTTTGAAAATCCTGGTGTATGGCTTAGCATACTGATGCTTCAAAGTACAGTATGCTAAGCTGCAGTCTGGGACTTTCACTGCGCTGTGGCAGTGTCCACACAGTGAGTTAGTGCATGGACAGCAGGTGTGCTGTAGATTCACACCCTGCCTTGCTGCATGCTATCTTCCCATGCAGACAAGCCTTCAGACTGGCCCTTCTGCAGATGTGCAGCGAGGAGATGAGTTTTCCTCCACCACCACCTCCAACCCCTTTTGCATAGCCTATGTAACAGCCAGAAACAATTGCAGCCCTTTCCCTCAGTCAGATGGACTATTTAGTCATTCATAAAGGGGGATGACAGAGCACAGGCAGAAACTTCCTGCTGATCCACACCATCCCCACCAAACGCAGGGCTCTGCCTTAAGCACAAAATTGAGGCCTAAAAGGTTTACCAGAGGCTGTAGGTAGAGAATTAACATTTGGTTTTCATCATTTTTAATTTTCTCTACAGTGTTTCCTCAGAAACTTTATAGAAACTAGAAAGACTGAAGAGGTGATTGATGAGACTAGGACACTGTGTGAGGGAATAGTTCTTGCTGGATTTCTCCCTGGTCATAGTGTAATGCTATTTTGTTCAGAGTCCACATGGTCCCAAAGCTTCCTCCTGCCATTATGAAAATATCTGTTCATTCTTTTTTACTCTCAAGGCAGTGTCTTGAACTACTGACAGGAACTATTTAATAACACTTTTTCTAATGCTAGCTGGCTGCTCACCTTACTGGCACTAGCTCCAGAGGCTTAAAGACCTAAAAGATATGGGTTAGATTCAACAGTTGGCACCCATGGGATGGAGAGCAGTCAACAGTCATGAGGCTGACCAGTATTGTTAACCTTCCCATCATTCTAGGAATTTCCTGTCTTATTGCAGGGGATGCGCAGCATGACCCTTAGGCTTGGTCTACACTAAACCCCCAAATCGAACTAAGGTACGCAACTTCAGCTACGTGAATAACGTAGCTGAAGTCGACGTACCTTAGTTCGAACTTAGTCCAGACCCAGCAGGCAGGCTCCCCCGTCGACTCCGCGTACTCCTCTCGGCGAGCAGGATTACCGGAGTCGACGGGGAGCACTTCTGAGATCGATTTATCGCGTCCAGACAAGACGCGATAAATCGAACCCAGAAGTTCGATTGCCTGCCGCCGAACCAGCGCGTAAGTATAGACAAGCCCTTTGAGCAAAAACAAAATTTGGAATGGCTGCAACAGGTTGGTTCTTGGATCTGTGGTGTTGACAACAGCTATATGGCTGGACTCATGCAGCAGTCTGTGGCAGAAGGCCAAGCATGGAACAAAGCCAGGACCTCTTCTTCAGAAAGTCTTAATAAATTTCCTGTCAAACTGCTAATCAAAACTCAGGCTGTTCTTTGAGTATCCGTGGCATATACAGTAAGGCCTTAAACATATTTAAAAAATTACTTTATTA